GTCACTTCAGAAAGGTTCTCGCTCAGTCCACCACCTGTCCCGCCACTAGCCCCTCTGCGCCGATGGCTTTCGCCAGCTCGCCTACTGCCGCTAGGACACGACTTGGTGCCACCCCCTCGGTGGCGGTGGCCATGAACTCGAATGCAAATGCTAGTAGAGAATCACCTGTCGGCAAGAACAGAATCGAGAGGGTGAGTAATCAAGATTTCATTTATATTCTTAATTTTTTGGAATAAAATTCTCCTCTTTTCGTTTAAGGTTTCTACGCATGTATGCTATGCAATAAATAGGAATAATTCTAGAAAAAAAAAGTAATAGGATTAAATTACCCTTCCAACTAATTGCTCGTCAATACTTACTAGGTGTGGACATTGGAAAGAAATATCCGATTTCCGACGATTCCATTCTGAATTTTCCCGATTTTAGAACACTTTTTCAATCAGAATTTCGAAAATTTCGATTCCAATTTTTTCGAATTTTTTGGAACCGAATTGAAATATATATAAGATTCCAATTTTCAATCAAATTATAATTTCCGAAATTCCGTTTTTTTTTTTGAAAAATTACACTTATAGCATCAATATTGTAATGCATTTTTTAATTGAGGTGACTAAAAAAATTGGAATTTTCCAAATTCCACCAATTCCTATCAAAATATTTCCAATTCCCTACTTTTCCAATTTTCTTTAGAACGAAATTGGAATTAGTTTTTCACTTCTGAAAAAATCGCAAATTTTCCGAAAGTGCAAATTCCGATTCATCCGATTTCCATCCCTCCTAATTACTCACTCCACTTGTGAGAATTGCGTTTTTGATAGAATTTACTAATTTAGAATTAATTCCATATTAATATTCTAAAAAAAACATATTATTAATATATTATATGATTGTAAACTTGTACCTGCCAGCACAGCCACATCCTCGCCGTAAACAACGTGGTTGGTGGGCTTCCCACGGCGGAGGTCGTCGTCGTCCATACAGGGCAGGTCGTCGTGGATGAGTGACATAGTGTGTATCATCTCCACCGCGCAGGCGGCGGGGACGACGGCGGACTGGTGGCCGCCGACCACCTCGCAGGCGGCGATGCAGAGCATCGGCCGTACCCTCTTCCCTCCGGCCAGCAGCGAGTACCGCATCGCCTCGTGGATCATCGGCGGGCTCCTCACCGGAACTGCGTCGTCGAGTGCCTTGTTCACAAAATTAGCCTTCTCGGCAACATAAGCATTGAAATTGAACGGCGGAGGTTTGGCGGCGGCGTCGATCTTAGGTTCCTCCTCGGCGATAATGGCGGAAACGCTGAGCGAGGAAATGGGCTTTTTCGATCTGGGAAAACCGGGCTTAATACCGGGCCGGCAGATGAAGCCGATGAAGGATTTACATGGGATTGGTTGCTTGAAAGTGGAGTATGTTGTCTGAACCCATGAATCCACAAGATTCATAGATCTCATCTTTTCTTGATTTCTTCACCTATGAAAAAAGTTGCAGTCTTTATTTATTTATTTTAATAATGGGGTAGTTTTAAATTGATTAAAGGGTTGAAATACTTACACATATAATATATATGTTTAAAAAAATAAATAAAGAAATAAAGAAAAGGGAGAAGAAGCAGACAACGTGGGAAGAAGATGAAGGAAGAGTGAAGAGATAAGGTGTAAGAAAAAATGACAAGTAACCAATCAACACTAGGTGGATGATCCATCTTCTTTCTTTTTCCAATTTTTTTTATTTTATTTTCCATTAAAATATAAAATGAAGCAAAATCCATCCAGATGTTTAAGTACAGTTTGTAATTTCAAGATTTAGGAGTGGAAATTTATCAAAATGGAAATGACGTGTTGGTCATTAGGATGTGATAAATGTCGTTCGAGCTTTAATAATACCGTATACGATTTCAAACCTGATTTTGATTATTTTTTATTTCAAATTTTACAAAACCCGAAAAATTGAATTTGTAGTATTCTGAGTTAGTTTTCTAATCAAACTTGAATCACCAAAATTGGATGTCGGACGAGAAAGATATACATGAATCAATGGATACTGCCCACAACTTTGATGTATTGAGGTTAGGGGTGAGGAAAAAAAATCCGAAAACCGAAAAACCGGACCGGAAACCGAAAAACCGACCCGAAATATGCCGTCCCGAAGCAAGAACCGCATATACGGTTTTTTATTTCCGCCGAACCGAAATTTTCGGTTCACGCTCGGTTTTTCAAGTGGTTAACCGAGCCGATGTACCGAACCGATCCGAAACGACGTCGTTTTGATAGGGCCTAATATATATTCCTGATTTTTTTTTCTCTGAATTTTAATGTGCCCTAGCCCAATAACCCGCCCCAGCCCAATAACCCGCCCCAGCTCGTTTCTTTTTGGGCTTTGTTGGTTCAAAATGGGCTGAATTATTTTTAGCATATTTTGGGCTTATTTAAATTTAGTTTAGAGAAAAAAAAGGGCTGAAAACCGACCCGAAAACCGGAACCGTTAAGAAACCGAACCGAAAATTTAGGAACCGAAAAAAAACCGAAACCGAAAAAAAAAACCGAAAAACCGACTAGAACCGAACCGACATGAACCGACCGGTTTGGTTTTTGGTTCTTCGTGAACCGACCATTTCGGTTCCAGGTTCGGTTTTAGGCTAAAACCGACCCGATCCGAGCCGATCTCACCCCTAATTGAGGTATCTAAAATTCAAAATGTGGTCCATTCATGCATAACTTTGTCACACGACATCCAATCTAGCGAAATTAAGTTGGATTAGAAAGTTAACCCAAATGATTACAGTTTTCGTGTTTCAAATTTTGCCAAAATCAAAATAGAAATATGTCAAAATCAGGTTCGAAGTCAAAACGATATTAGTAAAATTAAAAAACATTTAACATTTCAGTTGTCATTAAGATATTATTAGGGTTGGGTGGGTTGGTTACTGATCTAGAAATCGACTCATCCGATAAACCAATTTTGTTCATACTTGAAAAATATTGCCGACCCAATCTTTTATGGGTCGGTCGATTACAAACCTAAAAATTGATTTATCCGATAAACCAATTTTGTTCATACTTGAAAATAATTGCTCACACAATCTTTATGGGTCGGTCATTTACCGACCTAAAAACCGACTCATCCGACAAATCAATTTTCTTCATACTTGAAATCCGTTGCCGATACAATCGGAAATATAGACAGTAATGGAATGGTTGTTGGTTAAAAAGCAAGTCCCATGCCTAAAGGATATAACTTTGTATAATTTTATATTGGACAATTAGTAAAAAGTCCCTTAAATATAATTTTCCTTTCAAACAAAATACTAATTCTAGCTTTCTTCATTTGTTTGATTTTTTTATTCTTTTATTTATCGAGGTTATAGACTTTATTAAATTCTAGTTTACTCAACCTAAATGTTGACATTATAAACTAATATATTTTGTCCATACTTCAATCCAGATCTCAAGACTTTCAAATGCAACTTAAAATTATTAAAACTGGATTTCTGATGAGAGAGTTACGAGCAAAATAAACGCCATTACTTAAATAGATTTTTAGAAGCTTACTAAACCGGTTTTTTCACGTTACCGAACTGACTCATTTGGTCCTTGTTTCAATACACATCAACACAAATTCAAAACATAAAAGTTTTGATTTTGAATGCATTTCAAATCAATGTCACTGGATTTTGGACGAGAGAGTTATGGTCAAAACAACAAATGCTGTTAAAATACGACTTTAAGAGCTTACTAAACTAATGTTTTCACGTTACTAAACCGAACTAATTCAATCGAAAACACAAAACATAATTGTTTTAGCTCCATTCGTTAACTTTCAAATGCAAATTGGAGTTTCGATAAAAAAAATTAGCGGGAGAAAGGGAGAAAACGCACATTGTTGGATGAGCAAATAATACAGTAATACGATGCAGTCGACTTTCGAACAGAGGATAATGAGCAAACACTCATACTTCAATGATTACCTCTATAATTGAAAATGTCATAATTTCATCAATCCCCGACAAGAAATTGAAAAAAGAAAAAGAAAAAAAACGTAAAATCTGCACTTTAGGATAATCATCGATTCACAAATATTCCCCTCCCATACGAACGTTTTATTTAGATCCACAAATAGGAGAAGGTCTAATATTGAAATAAGTAGCAAAAGAAAGGAACACGATGGCTAAAACTACGTACACCTTAAACCAAACAGACGACCAGAAGGTGAGAAAAGTGAATACGACAGTAAAACTAATCACAACCGCAAAATTAGCCAAGCATTTCAGAGTCGAAAGTTCTTCCTCTGTACCTTCTTCTGGAAAACGGCCTTTGGCAATGAATTCATTGAGCAGTTGATCCTTTATATGAAATGCATCCACCAACCAAGTGGCGGCATCGGCTTCAGATGCCGGGATTTCTCCGATCGGGATCCGTCGAACGTGCATGTGTACTTCAGAAGGGTCGACTCCAAATACATTGTCCGTGAAGGAAGGTGATCGGTTCTTGTACGCAATTGTCACATCATAAACTGCCGATAAAATTAAAAAAAATAAAATTAAATCACACATTAGATCATGATTATCATGAAGTTATTATATTTAGTTATAAAGGAATTAGGAAGAACCTGCGTCGAAAGATCCACGCAGGATCTCCAAACACGCATGGAAGCCTCTTGTTTTTGGAAGTAGCACATTTGTTAGTACTGGCAATCCATTTTCCTCGGCATATTTTTGACTTTTCGTGCACTTCTCTTCGCTGTACGATAAATTAGTAGAGATTGTGTTATTATCGAGTTGCAAGGTCAAGGTAAAAAGGTTATGTTTGGGAAAAAAAAGGTAAAAATCCCATCTTTCACGAATAATATCTCGTTTAGGTTATGTTTGGCTCATGGGTTTTGAAATGAAAAAAATAAAAATGAAAAATCGTTCACGAATAATTTCACCAAGTCCTTGCATCTTTTTACTTGGCAATTTCTTTGATCCAGACAGAGCCTTAATGTCAAGGAAGATAAAAAAAAAGGGAATGACGAAATCTTACTCATAATCAGTTCCTTCGGGGAAAATAGCGAGCCAAAGTGGGTCCCGCGGATTGGCAAAGGTCGACAGCATTTGCTGCATTACCGGTTCATCAACTTCCCATTTTCTTTCCACGGGTATAAACTCCAAGAAGTGAAACCCCCATCCGAAAACGGGCAGTTTCATCAAACTACTCTTGAGAACATATTTGATATACCCTAAACACCCTTTGCGCAGCGCTAGATTCCACAGATACATCCAATCAACCTCGGTTCTATGGTTGGCTATAATTAAAACACGCTCTTCCACCGGAACTCTCTCCCCGGAAAAGATGAACTTAGTCTTGTTTATTTTTTCGAATAAGAACGGCCACATGCCTAGCCAAAGACCGAACAGAAACGAGACAGATTTCCGACTGTAGTGTACGCTAAAAAGACGTATGAATATAGCAGCTACGGGTAGAAAGTACACCAAGAACATAAATGCGGTTGAGACATAAATTATTAAACATAGTACACCCCTAAATATTCTGAAAGGAGTCAACGGGAAATGCTTTAATCCCTCGGTAGATTTTAATTGTTTAATCTCCATTTTCATCTAGTTTTTTTATCGTTTGGAGCAAAGAAATGGTCAATGCCGATTAGGAACTACCGAACTATTCATCACAGTGCTATTATCTCCAACCAAAACCGCGAAAAATGGCACGAAAATGAAAATTTCGTTTATTCTTTGAAGATGTTAAGTGGTGCTAACAATGTCGGACGACCCCCTCTTCGAAGATTTGCAAGTCAACAGAGTCTTACCTGCAAGAAAGACGACCACAAATTTCGGTATCAACTTAACTTGTAAATTATACCCCGAAGCTCGTAGACAACTATGTTTACAAAAAAAGTATTGATTGTGGGAATGTGTAGCATCGAAGTGAACATTGAAACGTACTATCGATGAAGTATTAATGGAGAGTTGATTATGTAAGGATGATGAAGCTTGTAATGAAAATGTAACAACCATTCTTTTGAGAGTCAACTACCAGTCCCTGATTTTACAATGTAATCATTTTTACCTTCAAATTCATATTTTCAGTGTTTAATATGTTCAAACTCGACATCAAAACTAACTAAATTTTAGGGGTGGAAATCGGACGAATCGGAATTGCAACTTTCGGAAAATTTATAATTTTTTCCGGAAGTGAAAAACTAATTCTGAATTTGTTCTAAAATATCGGAAATCGAAATTTCGGAATTAGGAATGGAAAATCCTGTTCCAAAAAATCGGAAATTTCGGATCGGGTGCAAATTAGTAGTACTATTTATAAGTGCAATTTTCTGAAAAAATCAAAACTTTCGGAAATAGTTTCAGAATTTTATTCCAAAAACAATCGAAATTTTCAGAATTCGGAAACTTCATTCCGATTTCCACTCCCACTCCTAATTCTTCAAGCAACACCAAATTGAAATTTGAAATTTCTGTGAACTATTTTTCAATGTGATCCTACCATTAATAATAACTAAAACAAATTAAAAAAAAAAAAAAAAAAAGTCAATTGAATCAATCGAAATCACACATCCAGAAATAGGCAATAAATCTGATAATGGCATTAAATGTAAATTTATAGCAATGCGGTGAACCTCATCTCCACATTTCATCAAAACAACGCGAATCGAAATTAACTAAACCATCACCAATTCAACTCCAACAAAAATTCACAGAAAAAAACAAATAATCAAATTTAAAAACAGACAAAGCAAAATCATAATAAAAAAGAAAAAAAAAATCGCAAAAAAGCAGAGAAAAATTCTCCCCAATTACTTACCCGCAACACGCAACGTTGAACTGGAAATGCTGAAGAAGACGACGACTATACAAAAGACAAATAATACTTTTTCCCCCCACTCTGAATGGTTATATGTATATATATATTATATATATGTATGTATGTATGTGCGAACGTTGTAAGCATGTATTGGGGGAATATAACAGGAAATTATCGCTGTATATGACTGTAAGGTCTGCGTATGGGCAGTAATCGGGTGCGGTGTACCACAGTGCCACGTAGGTATGTGGGAGTAAATCTAGTGGTTGATTTATTAAAAAGTCAATGATTTAGGGGATACGTTTGACCATTCGCCGGCAGTAGTTTCTGGACTATGGCTAGTAGCGTAATAAATAAAATTCCCAATGACATTTTCAAAGCAATTATTAAATAGAACAATCATATTTTTGTGAATTATTGAATCTCTTTTTAGGGCAAATTACGTCTGACTCCTGGATAAATTACAAAAAAATTCCTTCTTTATTTGGGTAATTGATACCATCTCTCTCAATTATGTATTGTCTGGCGAAAAACCTCTTTTTCTATAGGTAAATTTGATACTGTAAAGATGAACATGTAAAAAAATATATAGTCGGTGGGTGGTTATAATTACCTAAACATGAGAGATTTTTGGTAATTTGACTTTACCTCAAAAGAGTGACCGTAATTTGCACTTATTTTTATGGAAAATGATTTAACTCTCGAGAAAAAATCCAATTTAGAAAATCTTATATAAAAAAAGTCCCAAGAAATAATTTTATATCGGTAGAGTCTCAAAGAAAAAGTGGTCATACTAAATTATCCAAAACGTGAAATAATAGTTTATGAGATGTTAAATCTGATGAAATGCATCTGATGATTATGTACCACATATCTATACAAATAATCATTCATTAAGCACACATACAAATACACATAAATATGTGTGTATTATTATGTGTAAATCAATGGTACAAAATCATTCTATGTATTTCACCGGATATAACATTTACAAAACCGTACAACATTATAGAAATAGATTTACGGACATGAATTAGATGTGGTTAATTTGTACGAAGAAAATAGAGTTTATTATCAAGAGATCAATGAAAATATAAAATCAATGTATTGTGGTATTTCATTATTTCATCGACCTCATTATAGTGTGATTCTCACGAATCTTTTCGATTTCAGGAAATATTCCCCAAAAATGTCAATTCTACACTTTGTAGATTGCTTATACGAACCATTATAACATACATAGGCAGACTTTTTTACATTTGTGCATGGCTACCTTTAATACGTCTTACGTATATAGGGATAGAATTAACATTTTTTGGAAAATATTCTCTAAAAAAAAAACATTCCCTTAAAAAATCATACAATATGGGGTTAATGTAAGACGGAAACAAACGTCGAGGGGATGTTGATAATTAAGATTAGGTAGAGGTGTTTTTCGTAATTTAGTCTAAGTTACAGGGTTTTTTCGTAATTTACCTAAAATAGGAGTAATGAACAAAGTTTGTCTCTCTAGAATCACAACCGATTGGAAGAATTATTCAGCAGCTTATAGCTTATTTCCGAAGTTGCATCAGCACCAGAATCAGCAGCGAAATCTCTCTCACAAAATAAGCACTTTTTGACGTAAAAGTTCAACACGAACAAGAGGACGAAGCCGTTGAGCACAGTGTTGAAACCCCACGCGCCCATCCCATTGCACCCTCCTTTCCAGAAATGGAGCACGATAACCCCCAAATGCCACCCTAAATTCGCCACCACCAAAACAATCCGGCAGAGCATCACGAACGACGGCGAGTAGCTCTCCGGCAGGATTCCGATCTCCGTGCAGAATCTGTAGCCGTGCACCGCCGCGAACACCAGCGCCGTCGACAGGATCGCCAGGACCTGAAACGATTGGGAGAATTCGAGCCAGAGGAAGGCGATGCAGATGAGGATCGAGTGGTTGATCAGATGAAATTGGGGAAATTTTCTAGGGTTTCTGAGGATCGCGAAGAAGGTTCTGGAGATGTGGAGGAATCGGGAGAGGTAGAATATGTAGGACCAGAAGAAGACCCTGCCGGAGGGGCGGGTGCCGAGCGGGAAGCAGAGGAGCCACTGGAATGGGGTTTTCGACCGCCGCCAGAACCACCGTGTGTCGCGGATTTCGGCGGCGGAGGAGGCGAGCATTCCGGCGAAGATGGCGGCGGAGAGGAGGGCCGTTGCGAGGCTGTGTAGGGCTGGGATCGGGCCGAGGGGGACGGGGTTTTTGCGGCGGAGGAGGCGGAGGAAGATGTGGAGGGCGGCGGCGGCGGCGATGTAGGCGGAGATTGATGTGATTAGGAACGACCACGTTGACCCCCATGACTCAGTCGGGCTCCACCGGAAGTTGACAACCGATGGGTGCTCCGATAACAAGAAATTTTTTTTTTTTTTTTTTTTGAGTAAATTCAAGTCCATTACAAGGGGAAGTAGGGGAGGGGGGGACTCGAACCCTAGACCGTTACCCTATTGGTAAAGGCTAGGTACCAACTCTCCTAATGAGGGTTGGTCCGATAACAAGAAATTTAAGTCTTGGATTAATTTAAAAAGTGTCATTTTTTTATTCTCTAAATATTGAGGAGGACTTAATTTAAAGGAAAAATTAGAATTTGAGGGATTAAAAACAAATCAAATAAATAAATGGAATTGTATGTCATCAATGTAGAAAATATAAATGGAAGTTTCCAAAAGAATTTTCATTTTCCTTTTTCTTTTTTTATAATAAAAAAACCCGCAAAGATTTATATAGCTGCATCGGATAAACCTACACTCTCGTTTAGTAGTTTGCAAATTATACGAGATATAAATCAGACTAGACTAACCATGTGTCACAAACTCGACCTACTGACTTTTGACAAACGAGATTCGAATTTGGATCAGTTGACACAGACTCACAGGTTCAAAACGCTAAATAATCTACTTGAAATATAAATTTCAAGCTCATGTGTTTTGACCTCTAGAATTTGGAAGCTTCTCTTATTAGGAAGATAGACCTATAATTAAGTGTTTGATATTGATGTAAACCCATGATAAAAAGTGTTACTAATTCTTAATAAGCATTTGAATAATATACCAAACCATATATTTACGTTACCTTAATGATACCTTTTGAATCCATTAAATTGAAATTAAACATATATGTCCACCATATTTTGAATAATAATGTTAATAACTAGTCTAACGATTAGGGCTATTTTAAATAATCCCCTACAAATTTTTTTCTTCTATAAGCTACAAATTAGCTATGAACGATGAATTCGAAACATAAAAGCAATGTTTGATTTGGTTTGGTTTCCATTTCCTTTATATTAATTTCTAAAACCGAATGTTGTGATTTTGTTTATCTTTTCAAAAATAATTTTCATAACAATTTTAAAGTTTATCCTTTCAAATATAATTTAGCTGCAAAGTAAAAAGATTTGACCGTTGCATTAAAAATTATATTCACTAAAAAAGTAACTTTATTTTTCAATTTCCCTTCTAATGTATATTTTTTTAGCAGGTTTAAACATGATTAAACTGCTACAAAGTATTTTATTTCCTCTCAATTTATAAATAAACATTACTTTCACTCTCAAATTATTTTGTCAAAACATATTCCAAAAAATAAAATGAAAGAAAATAACTCCCAAAACGATTCCAAAATTACCAGAATAATCAGGAGGAAGGATTATTCTCTATAAAATCAAAAAATTAAGGGCAAATTATTATCACCTTTGAGATATGGTTAAATTACGAAAACCCCTCTCCTTTTTGGAATCTTCTTACACGTCCACCATTGTGGTTTCAATTTTAGTGGAATCTTCTAGATTATATGGAATATTATCACTTTTGTACCTGTTTTATCTAATTGGAGCTCCACATTTTGAAGAAAGATGATCATAAGATGTGTTTTTTGGCTTGTATATATTAAATTATGGTGCATAAAAAACTGTATTTTTACACAATACGAATACAAAATAGAGCACATTCCACGAAATCTAAAAGATCATATTGAATTTGACACATAAAGGTGGAGTTGTAAAAAGATTCAATTCGTAGGTGTAAAGATGGAAACAAAAGGAATTTTTTTCGGAATCTGACCATACATCAGTGCTGGTTGTAATTTACCCAAAAAAATAATCGAAATATTTAAAAGTCGTGTTGCTCTTAGAGTGTAATACAAACTCGTCAAAACGCGTGTTCAATATTCTAACCCCCACTGTCAAATCCACCAAAAAAAGGTCAATATTATAATCCAATAAAAACTGTCCACGTGGAGAAATCCCATCATCCGTCACCGTAGAAAGTCTTCCTCGACAAATCCTCTTAAATTTGATTATCCAGAATTCTCCCCGTTCGCCTTCTTCTTCTCGTTTCCGTAGGAATCAGATTCTCAGAAGATCCCCTTTCCCCACCGTCGATCGGTGCGGCTCCCCGGAATACACAGGTCAGCTCTCTCACACTGTGTGTTTGTGTGTGTGTGTTTATGTGCTCAATTCATCTTATTTTACGAGTTTTTGATTTGGCCTAAGATCCGATCAGTTTCAATTATTGACGCCGTAATTTTTCTGATATTGACTGATGACTGTAAAAATTGGTCGCGATTTTGTAGGAATCGAGTTGAATTAGTCAGAATTAGGTTGCCAATTCCGACAATTTTTTGGGCGTTTGTGAATTTTTTTTAACCTAATTTTCAAACTTCTGACCGTAATTGCTGTGTTCGTTGAAATTGAGCCTGATAAAATCTGTATCTTTGTGTGGTACAAACAATTGATTTTCTTGTATAGATTTTAAATTTCGTTTCGGTAAATTGAATGTCGGTAAATCTCGTCTCGAACATCTTGGGGCTTTCATGATTTACACCTTTTGAGTTATTTAAAGTTTTAATTTTTGGGGATTTATGTGGATTTATCCAATGTTTACTGGTATTTTGCGTTTTATCTGCTTCGAATTTAGGAGCTTAAGTTACGAAACTTTTGACCGTAATTCATGTGTTCGTTGAATTGAGCCTGATAAAATCTGTATTTCCGTGTGGTAAAAGTAACTGCTGTTGTTATACGAGTTGATCGCTTTGATAAAATTTGATTCAAGTAAATCTCGGCTGTACGTCTCGGGGTTTTCATGATTTACATCTACTTTCATATCTTTCGAGCTGTTTAATAACATTTTAGATTGGCAATTTACACGGATGTATTAAAATTTTACAGGTATTTTGCGTTTTCTAAGGTTGTAAGATGGCAAGTGGGTTAGGGGAGTCAACAAACAGACAACCCCCAAGCCCTTCTTGCTCAAGCAGCAACAATAACAGCGACGCCGCAAATTTCGAGTGCAACATCTGCTTCGAATTGGCTCAAGATCCAATCGTTACACTCTGTGGTCACCTCTTTTGCTGGCCTTGCCTCTACAAATGGCTCCACATCCATTCCCATTCCCATTCCCAAGGTTGCCCCGTATGCAAAGCTCTCATCGAGGAGGAAAAGTTAGTACCTTTATACGGGCGGGGCAAGAATTCAACGGACCCCCGCTCCAAATCATTCCCCGGGTCGGATATTCCCCACCGACCCACGGGTCAGCGACCCGAAACAGCTCCTCCGCCTGATCCAAACGCCCATGCTTTCGCAGACCAAGGAGGGTATGGGTTCATGGGGGGTTTTGGCCCCTTTGGGGGGTTTGCACCTGCTGCTACTGCTAGATTTGGGAACTTCACATTGTCCACTGCGCTCGGTGGACTGTTCCCTTCGTTTTTCAATATCCAAGTGCATGGATTTCCGGATGCTAATATGTATGGACCGGGCCACGGTTTTCAGTTTGGTTTTCCGAACGCGTTTCATGGTGCACCTGCTGCTGGTTATGGAGTACCTCAGCATGTGAATCCGCAACAGCAGGCGGATTCTACGCTCAAGATGCTGATGTTTGTGATTGCTTTTAGTGTGCTTCTGACTCTGATTTGGAGTTAGCGGGGTAAATCTTTGCTCTAAAGCTGGATTTTCGGAACAATATTTAGTAATATATTTATATATATAGAGGGAAAGTCATTGTATAGTTCTGGTGCCGCTAGCTGCTTGCCAGTTTCCGTCGTTTGGATTTGTCGCTTTTATTTGGTGTAGATTTAAAATAAATTATTTTGCTATATATAATATGTACAATTATCATCATCTCAATTTGATGCTCTAACTTATCACCGTGTCACTTGCGTTTCTTCACTAACTCGTCTCCGATGTTCTCATGGAACGCCTTTGCATTTTTTCTTGGTATCTCTATTATGTCAAAATTTTTACATACGAGGATAATCATCTTGGACTAACGAGGAATCAAGATATCAGGTAATGGGGGGCTGAGATACGACGGAAATGTTTTTCTTACAAACGAACAAGGTACATGTCATTTCTCTCTCTTTGATGGTTTTTATTCTTAGCTTTTGTATACAGTTATATATTTATAAGTCTAATGGTGGCATATCTATATAAGTTTTTGGTATTTTAACTGTTGATGAATTAAAATAAAATTGCAAACTAAATTCTCTTTTAAAGTTAGCATTTGCATCCTTAGTATATGTTGTCTTACGATATTTCATACCCTAGAATACATTTTTTTTCTTCGTTTGCCGATCTTTTCTGCTCGTTCAATTGAACACTTCGTACATAACTCGATCGAGGGCATCTCAACGCTAAATAAAACCTACCGAACACATTGCAATTCTTATCTTTTCTTTTTCGATAAATATCATATTGCATTTTAACTTTCATATAAACCATGAATTATCTGCATGAACATGTGGGAGGAGCTTAGAATTATTTGTCTTCTTGTTAAATTATTTTTGCAGGTGATATACACATAACACATGTTTTACTGACCATTTGTTGCCAGTCAATAATGTACTGAACAAAAAGCCTTGTCTTTAATTATTGATGTTGCTGATTAATTATATGATGGGATTTAGTTAGTGTACTTTTTTAATAATGTGAAATGCCACGTAGGCACTGAATAGTAATTCTGAAAAAATCTAATGGATAAATTGTGGAAGACAGGGTCCATGGATATGTACCTGGAAGATGCCTTTGTAATGTAATGGGGACAATTTTTAAGACCATGTGCTTGGTTCAGTTTTAGGTTGACTTATATGCCTCACTTTCTTACACTTTATTTCTGGATTGCACTATATATCTTTTTATTTTCTCATTATTTATTATTATTATTATTATTATTATTATTAATAAAAAAAAATTATATATTTTTTTGCCCACTTTGGTATATATCCATTATCCAATGGTTTTACGGTTGTTGGCTTTTTTCGTACATCTTGGTCGTCTGGATGATTTCTATAATTTCAAACTT